TAAGTCACTTAATTGTTTAGAGCACAACTATGAAAACAATTGTGAGGAATGAAAAATGAATCGGGACAGCGAAGTCAAAAAAACACAATTTTGGCAACTAACAGCTGTCTACTAAAATTAGCGACTTTTCCAGAGACTTGGTGAACTTGTAATGGAACACCCTTCCAAAATTTCAAAGTAGTTCGGATACCAGAATCAGAAAGTTCATCTCAGTTCTCCTCTGTTTAAAGTTATTACAAAAAATGAATCTCTTTTCTGAAAACTTTTCCAGTTCCCTGGAGCCACCCAAAGCTCTGCAACATTAATTTAATCTCTCTTCATCCAGATGCTTTGTCATTTAAACGTACGAGTATTATGGGACTACTGTGTTACATAAAAAGGAAACAGTCGTAAAAGAAAACAGCTTTTTGCAAAGTTTATCAGTTCCTTTTGAAGGAAAAAAAGAATACTTCTAAAATCTGAGCAAAACTAAATAAATAAAGAGTTTCTCAAAGTTATTTGTTTTTTTTTTTTAATTAACCAATTTTGAAACGTTTCAACGATTAAGAATCTCTTGGCAAAACTTGCTCTTCCTCTCTGTTGCCTGACGTTTCCAACTTTGATTTACATATCCATTTTAACGGTGTACTTGATACGTTAAGACGACGACAAAATACAGAAGATGAGATTTGAATTTTTTGACCGTCGTTACTACTAGTTGACAACAGGAATTGCCAACTTTTGCCTCAGTTTTGTTGCTTATTTTCACAAGTGTCATTTTGAGAAATTTTAATTTCTTTAAATCAATAGCAACAGTCAAATCTGAGTCGACAGAAGATGGCTTTCAAATGAAGTAAAGACGTTAAAAACCTGTCGTGCATGAGGAGAACTACAGGTCTTGAAACACGACAATTTCGAAAAAACGTTTTTTCCGCACTTTAAAGCAATCTAGCCTTGCCACTAGTGAGCTTTTTAAGGTTTTCTCCATTAATTTCGCAGTCAGATACCAAGCCGTACTAATTGCCAAAAAACGAAAAGGTGATAAGTCAACTTAAAACGGTGCTATTTGACGTCGAATGCCCCATATATGTATAATACATATTTACTATTATGGCTGACAACGCCCTTTGCCGTACAGACATTGTCGTATAAGCCTGACGACAACACTTTTAAAACTTCATCGCTCTTGCAGACGAATTGCAGAAAACTTTAATGGTACAGGCGCTCTGTAACCATTCGGAAACTGCGTTCAGCGAATTTCGACGCGTCTATTTTACGCGAGTACAAACTGCGATGCCCGTAAGGTGGTCTTATCTACTCCTTCACCCAATGGATGCCCGCATGCGGTTGAACAGGCTTTGCAAAATAGGCAGTACAAATGCTGATTCAGTAGGACCGTTTTGGTGAATTGAGCTCAGTGGAGTTGCTCAGCGATTGGACAAGTGGAGCGTGTGCAAATATTGGGCGGGACTTCGGCTGGCAATTGTAGGCGATCCGCTAACAAAGTGAGTATCATAGTGAGTAACATGGTGAAGCCGTTTTCGTTGTTTTTCACGTACTGCTTTTTCATAACTGTTTTTTCATATGTTGCCTACCTTTTATTCTTCTTTTTATTTTACCGCAGGTTCCAATCTTAATTAGAAATCTGAGATAACTTCAGTCAAGAACGGTTTCTGTTTTTAGGAGTGCTAACTTCTTTAAAACTAATTGCACCAAGTCTGCTCAGCTCCAAAACGACTGTAAATGTTTGTTTTGTTAGTGGGGTTAAAACTGGTTTAAAATTTTAGGTCTTTTTTTGAATGCCTTTCTTCAGCAGCGAAAGATTTGTAATTTTGACAATTTTTTGCGTTCTTGGTCGTTTTAAGCTTTTGTTTCCCTTTTTTTTCCCAAAGCGTTTCTTTCATTCTATATTCACTTTCTTTGCTGTAACTGTCCTCTTTCCCTTGAAGGCCACCCTGATGCATGGTAACAGTACTTGTATTTACTGGAAAAATTAATTATTTAAATAAGCAAAAGAGCTAGTTTAACGAGCGGTGATCTAGTAAAGATTGTTACGGTGGAGGAACTGACTGCAGCAGTGCATAAGAAGTTTGGACTAAACATCCGTTGTTTTTCAGAATAAGGTGAAATGGCACTTTTATGGATGGTGGGTGCATTTGGTAGGATTAGTGGTTTTAGAACTGCTGCCAATCGTTGAAGCGCATATTTACACCATTTTAATGGATTCTATTTGAAGCACTTCCTTTGCGTTTTTTGGAAGTTCACCGTAGGTTTTTTACACGGTAGAAGGTTGTTTTGAAAAGTAAAGGAAAAGTTATGCGGAAGATAAGTATTTCGTTGTAAAGGAAGAAAGAAAATGGTGAGATTTTGTTTAAGATCAAGTTAATGAAAGTATATGTTAGGATTTGCTTCGTTTTGGATAGCGAGTTCTATATATATAACATTTATCTTGGAAATGAACTATGTGGATTTGTCTTACTGCGGTTTACTGCCTTTCAATATTAGTGGGTTTCCTGAAAAAGTGCGGCGATAGTGCTCAGTTGCCGCAAATCGCTGAAGTGCAATGACGTTGTTGACGTTTTGGTTATGACTCAATGCCGTTGTCAAGCGATTTGATTAGTCATCATCGTTAATCTTACACTTGTTCGTGTAGCACAGGCGTTCCATGGACGTTGCCTCGGTTTTTAATTAGCATTCCTGTTTTGTTTCCACGAATCATTTGTTGCGGCTTATAAGAGGAAAAAACTATAGTAGTATGACTATTAAACAAATTGTATATACCGACATTGGTACCTCAGCTTTTAACTGATATACTTTGAACTAAAATTTTCTAAAAGAAGATGTTGTGCTTACATGACTGGATATGATTAACATTCTAAAAAGTTAGCTGAACTCATAAGTTGTTGATGTGCTTTTGACGGTCACTTGTCGTTGACCGTGTTTTGGTCAAACTACAAGATGAATTTTTCAGGGTTTCATGTTACCAGTTGAATCACGGCTGCTAAGGAACTGTTACCGATATAAACCTGGAGATCCTGGTGGTAAAAAGGGTAATTCTGAATTTGAACTCGATATTATTAATATTTTTATTCTGAATGTTGATAGATGCAGTATAAGTGGCACTTTTTTTTTGCTTTTTAAGGTTTCTCTTCATATACTGCTAATTGTTTCGGCAAAAGTTAAATTGTTCACTGTTTAGAAGAGTTCCTGGACGAGTATGTGATTGTGGGTAAATTGGGTTCTGGTGGTCTTGGTGTTGTTTACGATGCAGTTCGATTTTGTGATAGGGAACAAGTTGCTGTCAAATTAGTTGACTCAGTGACTGCCCAGATGGTAAATTTTAGAGGTGTCTTTTGACGTCGAAGAAGTTTTAGGGTTTTAGAAGTGGGTTCCTGTGTCCTCTTTCTTTTGGATTTTCTGATTTTATGGAAGTTTATACAAATGGTCATTAAATTAGTCTTTTTAAGTTTATGCAATTGTAATTACATGTTATGTAGTCAAAGAAGCTGGTTGGATTGAGAGTTGGGTTTAGGATGAATGGATGGCAGAACCTTACCCATACGAAGTTGAAGCTCTTCGAAGACTAGTTGGCGTACCTGGTGTTGTGCAGTATTATGACTATTTTATTAAAAAAGGACCTAAAGGTGAGGATACTTTAGTTGTGGTCATGGAAAAAGTAAAGGATTCAGAATGTTTGTCAGAATTCACTGAGAAATGTGGCGAGATCCCAGAATATGCACTAAAGTTGATATTTAAGCAGGTGAGATTTTTTTGGAAAAGAAAAATAAATTTTTAATGACAGAAGCAAAAATTATGGGTTTAACTCTTTTTCATTTACGAGTATGTTGGTTGAGTGCCAATTCAGCATTTTTTTTCTCATTCTGTTATTAACTGCAGTACTTTTGAACTAGAAAAGGGAATTCGGTTTGCGGTTTTATATGAGTTTGAATAATAATATTGAGGTTAGAGTTAAATGATCCTCTATTAAATGTTGTTCCTCGAAACTTCTTTTTTGCCATCCAATTAATATTTTCGGTGAATTAAGAGCTGCAACAGACTTTATGGAAATTTTTGCGAAAGATTTGGAAAAGATTTATTTCTCTTTGAGTTTTTTTAATTGCGGCATTAGAAGTCTATTTGGTAGAAGCATGAACTGAAGAGTGAAAGGAAGGTTGGAATTTGAGGGGACCGAGCAGTGGGTCTGCAGTTGCTTTAGAAAAGGTGCTCATAGCAGAAGAGGAAAACGCTTTCTAGTGCGTAATACATGCCACTTGACAGCTGCAATTATCACAAGTTGAAAGAGGGGAGTGCCATGTCATTTATTCGGTTCCATATCTCATCTGCCATCATTTTGACGCCACGTTAGTCGTAAGTTTTAGGAAGGAGGTTTGCTCGCGTATGAATTTTAACCTAGATGGTCCAGTTAAAAGTTAGACGACCATTAGGAGAGGTTCTAAGGTGGTAAAAGCCTTAATTCTGCAGGCTCTATTTTCCTTTCTCATACTAATCTTGAGTCTATTTCCTAGATAAGGGGTTCCGGTTAGTGTCAGATGTTATACTCCCCGTTGAGGCCTAGTTACTTTTTTTTGAACTGTAGAGTAAATTGGTTTCCAACCATTATTTTTATAAGTTATTCGGTGGACTTAGAGTAGGAAGTTAGGTC